CGTGGAGGTCTCGGCCCCGGAACCCGCGTGGCTGTGTCCCTCTGCCAGTACCTTCATGGGTGCGGAGAGTGGTCTCAGCATGGTGGTGGCTGGTCCTGGAGGTCTCCGGCTGCCATAGCCCTGGCCGGGGCGGGGAGGAAAGCTCAACCCGCTCCCCTCCAAGGGACTCCGGGAAGGAACACCGAGGCGCGGGGGCAGAGACTGCACTGTTCTCGTCCGGGATCTGGATTTTATAGTCTCTGAGTCTAACCCAGATCCTCCAAATTCCAGTAGGCAGGGGTCACACCCACCACCTGGCCCCCTGGCGCCGTGTAATCCCATCAGCGGCCAAGACTCAGAGACTATAAAATCCAGATCCCGGAACCGCGCGGCCGCATTTGCGGCCGCGCGACATCTTATCAGAACTTTTCTTTATGACATCTTATTATCTCATTCCTACTTTGGACAAACTTGCAGGCTATAGAATATAGCCTGCCCACAGGGCAGAGTCTGGCAAACTCCCCGTGGCCTACCAAATATGCCAAATACCAGTAACAATGATGGGTCTCATTCTCCTAAAGAGCCGTGAATATAATCTCAGGGCTAGGATGAAAGAGACGTTACTGGGGCCTGCTCGAGGCAATCGACGATTAACAGGATGATGAAAAAAATGAAATGAAACTATTCCAAATGTGCATACATAGCGCCAGGCTTTACTTGGAATGAGAATGCAGGTGTGGAGAGAGAATGAATGGAACCTAGCCAGTACAAGGACATCTATAAAGGGGAGAAAAAAATGTGAATGATTTGCGCGGTGAAGTAATGTCACCTTTGTGACCATACAACTGACAGAATCAAAATGTGCTTATTCTAGTCTCTGTCTTCAGCTCTGGTCAGGTTCTTGCCTGGGCAGCTCAACAGGTACAACTTGTGGAGGGACTTAGAAAAATGACTTGAATCTGGCTTTTCCTATACTAAACCCACAGAGACGTCAGAAATTGAAGGAAAAAAGTCTTTTTCACTCATTATAAATATAAAATGTCTAATGTCTTAGTTATGCCAAGTTTGATCAAATGAGGGAGGATTCTACTTTATTTTGAATTTTTTGCCTTGATTTTGGGCTACACCTAGGCTTACTTGTGGCTCTGCGCTTAGAAATCATTCCTGGTGTGACACGAGGTACCAGCATGGGCTTTGTATAAGCAAGCTCCCTACGTGCTGTATTATCTCTCCAGGTTGAGACAAGATTTTACAATGCTTTGTAAATGTTGATGCATTTATCAGAGTCATCAATTCCCCAGCACACTCCCATAAGAAACCACCTCAAGTTTTATTCTGTGATTTGATTAAAATGGAAAGCTTACATCACTGGTCCAGGAGAAACAAAACAAAACAAACTAAAAGGACTTATAGAACCCATCAATGAAACAACTCAAAGGAGTTTTAATATTATGTCATTATCAGGAACTATGTATACCTCTGTAGGAGCAGACAAAGTTCTTTGGGTCTGTGATAAATCCCACAGCTCTGTGGCACTGACCCCCAGCATCACCCCTTCCCAGGCCCACTCTGACAATGAGCGCTTTCTTTCAAGACTAACTACTCAGCTGTTTTGTATTAAGCATCTGCTCTGCCCAGATCCCTGGGTGTCCCAAATTTGGTTGAACCCCAGCCACAATAGTCTAAAGAATTCTGCATTTGGAAACTAAAATGTTTCTGGCCTCTATAACACTATATACCAGTCCCACCTTTAGACCCTTGCTGCCCTACGTAGAGACTGGCAGTATCTCCATATTCTCAGAGTTTGTTAGACATGAAAATATATCCACAATTCATCCCATTGCACTCCCAGTTAGGTCTGTATTTTAACAAGAGCCATGCATTTGTTACACATTAAGAAAGAGAAGCTCCGTGCTTAGACCGGCAATCTTAAAATTTGCTTCCGATTAAAATCATCCAGAGATGGCACAGGGGCTGCCAGACCTGATCAAAGAGGCCACTGCTGTGGGTCCAGAGATAGATTCTGCAGAGACCAAGCGACTTCTTCCCCATTTCCTGCATTGGATGGAGAATCCCTGCACCGTCGGCTCAGCCTGAGGACGAGAATCCAGAAACACGCGCCCTTGAGCTGAGTCTCTAGTCTCTTCCCTTGGGTTGTTTAAACTTTGCCTCCTGTATAATCAGCAGTGGACTAGAGGTTCTAGGGCCTCTGTACCGAAGCCAGAGTAAATTTATGGCTGGGCTTCATCCGGGAATGTGTTTTCCCACCTTTAAAACAAACAGCCTGAAGTGCTGCACCTGAAAGTAGACATTCTGCTAGGGCCCCGCCTGAGCATGGGTGGGGACGGGGTGACCAGCAGCGCCGCTAGTGTGGGGTTCCTTATAAAGCTCCTGAGCCTGGATTCAAGAAAATCACTTGCAGGAACAAATATTTATTCACAAGACGGATGCCATTCTGAATAACAGAAATCAGCATTTGGGGGGTCGAGGGCATCCAGCTCTACCCAAGGCCCCCCTAGATGGGGGGGTAGCAAGCTCCTTTTCACTCATGCATTGCACCAAAACACAAATTTACATCATCGGCAAACTGCAAGTAGAAAGAATGGCTGCCATTGTGGAGTGCTTCTTACATGCCAAGGTTTGTGCTAAGTGTTTATTATAAGTTTTATTCTAGTCCTAGCTGTGGGATTACTATCACAGTTAATCTCATTTTATAGCTGTGGAAAATGAGCCACAGAGTAAATACTTGTTTTTTGCCCAAGCTTACAAAGGCCATTCAGTATCCAAATCTATATTCTCAGCCATAGGCCACATATGGCAGATTCCAGAGCACCTGCTGAGGGAAAAATGTTGTTATGAAAATCATAATACACAGTTTTTATAAAACAAGTTTTGATCACTAAAAGTCTGTTTGCTTGCTTATTTCTTTATTGGCAGGAATTCAAGAGGTCGTGTTGGTCCCTCTTGCATGGCCTTTTTCTTTTTTTTTGTTCTACAGCAAACTTAGTGGTGCTCGGGACCTACTTCTCACACTGGGCTTAGGGATCACTCCTGGCAGAGCTTGGGGGCCCATATGGGGTGCCAGGAATTGAACCCAGGTTAGCTTGTGTGCAAGGCAAGTGCCCTATCCACTGGACTATTACTCTAGCCTTAGTGTGGGCTTTCTTTTTTCTTTCTTTTTTTTTCTTTTTTGGGTCATACCCGGTGATGCACAGGAGTTACTCCTGGTTCATGCACTCAGGAATCTCCTGGCGGTGCTCGGGGGACCATATAGGATGCTGAGAATCGAACCTGGGTCGGCTTCGTGCAAGGCAAACGCCCTACCCGCGGTGCTATTGCTCCAGCCTCCCTAGTGTGGGCTTTCTAATCAATGGCTGGTTTGGCCTGTTTGGTGGTGGTGGTGGTAGAGGGCCTTAAGGAAAATAGGGGACCCTATGACCAGAGGGCTGGACCTTTTGTCCCTACACCCCCAGACTCTTCTGGAAAGAGGGGCAGTGGAGGTTCATCACCCAATGACCAGTGGTTCAGTTGTTCATATTTGAATAAGGAGACCCCCCTAAGGTCCCAAAGAATGGGATTCCAATCCCTTCTGGGTTGCTGAACTTGTGGTAGTGCTGGTCCAGTCCCTGTCTCCATACCCTTCCCTTGGGCAGCTCCGGCTAAGTGGTAGCTTCAAAATAAAGGGGGACTCTGCTAACTAAGCAATTGGGGGACTGGGGGAGGTGCTCGCATTGCAGGTGCCAGCCCAGGTTTCATCCCCGACACCTCATCTAGTTGCCTGCGCACCACGAGGAGTGATCCCTGGTCTCAGAGCCAGGAGTAAGCCCTGAGCACCGCTGGGTGTGGCCCCCAAACCAATAATAATAACAAATAGCAAATAAAGTCCTGCCTGCGGTGTCACTGGAGTGACTCTGGTGGCCCCAGGGCTGGTTGCACCACGGCCTCACACCTTGCATTAAAGTGACTGGCCCAGTAAGTGAGTGAGCCCTGGCTCCCTTACCACGGCCTGCGAGGCCTCCCCCTCCCAGAAGAATACTAATGTTTTGGTCCTTTAGATCACCTTTGACATCCTGGCAAGTTTTCTTCTGTCTCTTTTCCCTTGCAATTTGATTTCACACAGTTGAATTCACAATGTATATTTGATTTTAGCGTCTTCTTTTTCTTTTGCCTACCGACATCACAAAGATTTTTCTCTGTGCAGTTACTTTTCATAGGCAACACGGGTTAGGTGGTGTACATATAGATTGGTGACGTTCATTAAGTTAGGTACGTAGATTAGCCCGTGCCTCTGTTTCTTCATGTATGTAGATTGGCCCGTGCCTCCGTTTCTTCATGTGTAGTCAGTGGTTCTCCCATTCCATTTAGTGTGCCATGTTCACCTCAGAGCACTTTTTCTGTTTGTTTTTTTCTTCTTCTTTTTGGGTCACACCCGGCAATGCTCAGGGATTACTCCTGGTCTGCACTCAGGAATTACTCCTGGCAGTGCCCAGGGGACCAGATGGGATGCTGGGAATTGGCCACGTGCAAGGCAGACGCCCTCCCCGCAGTGCTCTCTCTCCAGCCCTTCACCTCAGAGCGTTTTGAGGACTGCTGGGCTCCACCTCCAGCGTGTCTCATTCTGGGTCTGGAAGGCAGCCCGGCTCCGTGTTCCCAGCGGCTCCCGAGGTGCTGCTGCTGCCAGTCGGACCGCACTTGCGGAAGGGAAACGATGCGACCGGCTTGTGGGATTTCCAAGGTCACCGCTGGTTTAAAAAATCTCCGTTTATGCATAGTTTTCAAATTCTTAAACACAAACCCAACTCAAAACACATGAATTTTCTAAGCTTCAATAAGACCCTGTGATTCTTTCTGAAAAATACAGAGGAATATCCTACCAACCACAAGTAATTGTTTCCACTCGTAGCTCATACACATTCCATGCTTGCTTCACTTTGAAGTTACCTGCCATTTTAAAATGATATCTTTAAAGGACAGTCTGACTTCTATTAATACCTTATTGTTTTTTCTTGTCCTTTGCATAGTTCCATATGTACTGAAGAGCTGTGCAGAATTTATTGAGACTCATGGCATTGTGGATGGAATTTATCGGCTTTCAGGAGTCACCTCGAACATACAACGACTCAGGTGAGTACAATCAACACCCTTCAGGGTAGGTAAAATAAAGAAGTGCCAGTAAGACAATGATAGTTGGAAATGATCACGGTGGATAAGAACTGAGTGTTGAAAGTAGGTAAAAGAGTATACACGATAATCTTTCAGTATCTGTATTGCAAAACCACAGTGCCCAAAAGGGGAAGGAGGAAGAGAAGGGGGAGGAGGGGCAGAGAGAGTCAGAGAAAGACAGACAGACAGACGGAGACAGACAGAGACAGAGAGATGGGGGGGGGAGAGAGAGCGAGAGAGAGAGAGAGAGAGAGAGAGAGAGAGAAGAGCCTGCCATTGACATTGAGGCAGGCTGGGGGATGGGGTTATGGGTGGAAAATTGGGGACACTGGTGCTTGGAAATGTACACTGGTGGAGGGATGGGGTTGGAACACTGTATGACTGAAACCTAAGAACAGCTTTGTAAGGCTCTGTCTTACAGTGATTAAAATATATATATATATATTTTAAAAAAATCACACTCCAGGGGCCTGAGTGGTAGCCCAGCAAGCAAGATACTTCCCTTATGAGCATATGGTCCCCAGAGCACCACCAGGAGTGATTTCTGAGCACAGAGCCAGGAGTAAACCCTGACTGAGCACAGCTGTAGGGGACCCGAGTTTTAACTCGCCCTCAAAATATAATCACCTGTCAGAGAATTCTCCAAGGTCCTCCATCTGTCCATCACTCTTATCCACAGTTGTGGAGACTATTAAAAACCTGAAGGGCAGCTGAACTGGAGATCAAGAATTGATATTTTCAGTTGTCTGCTTAAAGAACCAAAAAAATTCTTGAGTGCAGGGGGTGTATATCAACAGTAGTATGGAGCCTTGTATGTCTCATGTCATTTTTCCAATAAAAACTCCTGAGAAGTTTGAATCAGTTTCTTTGTCCTGCACCAGACTCATCCCTGCTTGGGTGGATTTGACTTGATTAAAATGATTTAAATGAACAAGTTAGGAAAATATGACTTACTATTATTCCATCAAATTTAATTGAGAACAGTAACCATACATACAGACATGTGTATTGTGTTTTATATTTATATAAAATAAAATAAGTATCTGTAAAACAAATACTCTATGTACCAGTGTACATATAAAGGATATATAAAAGTACATATGAAATCAGTGGCTGAATAAATAGCAGTATGCCTACATTTAAAAAAAGTACATATGAAGCTTGCTTTTCCATCCCGTGTTCTTGCTGGAGTGATAGCACAGCGGGTAGGGCGTTTGCCTGGCACGCAGCCGACATGGCCGACCCGAGTACGATTCCTCCGCCCCTCTCAGAGAGCCCGGCAAGCTACCGAGAGTATCTTGCCTGCATGGCAGAGCCTGGCAAGCTCCCTGTGACGTATTCGATATGCCAAATACAGTAACAACAAGGCTCACGATGTAGACGTTACTGGGCCCGCTCGAGCAAATCGATGAACAACGGGAGGACCGTGACTGTGACCGTTCTTGCTTGAATGTACTTCTCATTTTCTTGTCTCTGTGTGTGTTTGCCTGCCAATTTCCACTCAGGAACAGCCTGCGTTCTCTCTTGAACACTCACTTCGCCCATTTTCTCCCTTCACATCTTTCTAAACAAATTTCAATAAAAACTTTCCTCCTTCAAAAAATAAAAGAATATACAGAAGTATATTTCAGAGCTAAGCAGTCGTGATACATTTTTCCCTACAATGACAGCAATAAAATTTCTGCATTTTTCTCATTCTTTAACACCAAAAGAACATTTTGTTATTTTTATATATTATTTGTTCCTTAAACAAATAGAACTTTAAAACTGTGAAAGCATTCTTGTTAGTTTGTTCTTGTTTTGGGGTCACACAGCAGTGCTCAGGGGTTACTCCTGGCCGTGCACAGGGCACCAGTGCAAGGCACGTGCCCTACCTGCTCTACTATTTCTCTAGCCCCTAAAAATATTCTTATTAAATGACTCATATTTAAATTTCAAAGATAATAAGATAAGTCATTGTTATTTTTCCTCTTAACTGATTTTCTGCCTCTTCCCCTAAAATTTGACTTATAGTGAGAATATACCAAATTACAAAACAGACTTTTCTCTTGTAAAGAATGACTACTCAAAATAATTGGTTTATTACAGCCATGGATTTAAAATGGCCTGTGTGTTTACTGAGCTTTACTGACTTGTGACATGTCTCAGAAGTTCCATATCAAATACTTTGTAATGGTTAACACTTAACTCTGAAATATAAAACACAGACAGGTGTTGGAGTGTGTGTGAGGTCCAGAGTTCAATCCCTATACCTGAGCATCACCAAGAATTTATAAACTAAATATAAAAGTACACTATAATGTGCTCACTTCAGCAGCACATATCCTAAAAATGGAACAATACAGACAAGATTAGCATGACCTCTACTCAAGGATGACATCCAAATTTGTGAAGTAGGAAAAATAAAAGAGAGAAACACTAACCACACTATTGTTAGTGTTATTCATGCAAGGACACTAGGGCAGTGGCTATTCCTTTTTCATTTAAGGATTGACCTTGACCTTGATAAGGGAAATTTTTGTCTAAAGAAATGAGTATGGTCTACTAGATTGTTCTTGTCCTGCCCTCTTAAAAAAAAAAAAAAAGAGTATGTCCTTGGACTGGGGATGTGGCTTAGTGGTAGAGTACTTGCCTTGCATGTGAGAGGTTTTGGGTTTGATTCTCAGCATTGCCTGATTCTCTCAAGCACTGCAGGGAGTAACAACCTCCCCCCCACCACACACACACCAAAAAAAAAGAGAGAGAGAAATAATTTGAGCGCTATTGAGTATGACCCAAAAATAAACAAACAAAATGCCGAAGCACGTGGTTTGGGATTTATGAGGCCATTGAATAGCGTGCTTCTCAAGGCTGCACTGGGATTCTTTCCAGTTCCGACAGCGTACGGGACTCCCCTGGCCTTTATAAAGGGGAAGAACTGGACTATAAGAAGGACAGATTTCAGTTTTGATTGTTTTTTTGTGAGGGATTGGAAGTTAGGTTTGGGCTGCACCCAACAGTGCTCAAGATTTACTCCTACCTCTGTGCTTGGGGATCACTCCTGTGGTGTTTAAGGCACCATATGTGATGCTGAGGGATTTGAACTAGGGTCTATGCATGCAAGGTAAGCTCCTGCATCTCTCTACTATTTCTCTGGCCCTAGAGTTTGAAGTGTGGTTTTGAGGGTGTCGTTGACGTTGTGTCTACTTGGCTGAGACGAAGTGAATACTCTAGAGAATACTCTAACTTCTCTTTTTATATTAAAGCTAAGATTACACCCAAAAAAGAGAGAGAGAATAAAAGGGAATGCCCTGCCACGGGGGTGGGGTGGGGGGATGTGGAAGGGATTCCGGGAGCATTGGAGGTGGGTAATGGGCACTAGTGGGGGATGGGTACTCAATCATTGTATAACTGAAACCCAAGCACAAAAATCTGTAAGTCTACAACTGTACCTCATGCTGTTTCACTAATAAAAAATAAATTAATTTAGAAAAAGAATCACAATAATGAGTCTAGGTATTAGCACAAAAAAAAGCTAAGATTATTTTTGAAAACATTTTTTAAAATACATATTTAAAATACACTTAAGTTACATCTTCTAAATACAAATTACTTAAGGTAGCGTATTTATGTGAACCTTATTAATAATTATTTTAAATGAGAAAAAAGATCTGTAATCTATGATATTCTCAGAGACCCCAATAGAGATGAAGAAAATATTTATAAGCTCATCTCTCCTGTGGGAATCACTATCAGATGGCCTATAAACTTCTGTTCCTTTGCAGATGAGTAAATTTCATCTCCAAGATACAGTTGGTTAAAGTTCTCAAACCTTGAGCTTGGCCCTCAAGATAAAACAAGACTGTCAATATGAATCTGTTGTGATGAGTGATAATGGTCTGTCTTTCCCTGGGTTTGTTCTCTCCTCCAAGGAAGAGATGTTCATTTAGAATAATATTTTGGAAACAATGAAATCGCAACAGATTGTTTTTGCATATTGTTTTAATATTTCCCCCGCTGTTCAGAACTGAGACTTTGGCCCTCGTGCCCTGAGAAATCCTCCTGTAAACCAGCGTTCTGTCTTTACAGCAAGAGAGACTCCGGCAGGGAAGGTCCAGACCTGGAGTCGGCGTCTTCCCAGCGCGTCCTTGTGCCCAGGGTAGAAGGTCTTTTTGAATAAAGGTCAAAAATAGAGCCAGATCAGCAGTTTAGGGTCTTTTCACCCCTAAGCAGCCAAGTAGCTGCTGACATGGAACACATGTTCCTGGGATTGTTATGTCTCTGTCTGTGTTGTTTCAGGCAAGAGTTTGGCTCAGATCAATGTCCAGATCTGACAAGAGAAGTGTACCTCCAGGACATCCACTGTGTGGGTTCTCTCTGCAAGCTCTACTTTAGGGAGCTGCCCAACCCCCTCCTGACCTATGAGCTCTATGAGAAGTTCACGGTGAGTGTTTGGATTTCCATTATGGTTACTGGGTGGTTCGCATAGACGGGCCAAGGGGAGTTTCAGCACTGAAAAAGCAGCGTTACTCGTTCCCCAGATGGTTGACATTATCTGAGCACGGGGATGGAAGTCTGAAGAGATGTTGAAGAAAGCAGGGTAATGGGACTGTCTGCTAATTTTTTTCCTTCTGAAAATTTCAAAACTGTGTTTATTTGCTTTAAAAGCTGGGTTAAATTGCTTCTGTATTATTTAACCAAATATGCCTCATGGTTAGAGAGGAAACTGAATCAGAGCAGCAAAGTCACTGGCCCAAGGTCACACGGGACAGGAACCTGAAACTCCATTGTTACTTGGTTTATTTTTGTCAGGCTATTCTTTCTGTGCCTTTGGGGGGCGGAGAAGACAGGTGGTGGGGAGGTTAGAAAAGAGAAAGAAGAAAGTAGAAGTTACGAGAGGGCGGAAAGTTAGAAAGAAAAAAGAATCTGGAAAAAACTACCACCGGGGAGTAGAGTGTAGGTGAGTGAGTTGGGTCGGTAGAAGATGAACAGGCAAGAGCAGAACAAGATCACCAGGTAGGATCGACACAAGAAGAGTGGGAAGGAGAGCAAATGTTTGGAGATACCAGTGAGAGTGGGGCTCGGACATTTGGGTACAGAGAAGAAGGAACAGAGGAGACAGAGAGGGGCGTGAAACCAAGTTGAGGAGTCAGTTGGCAAAGGAGGGGCGAGGGAGTTGAAGGCACACAAAAAGAGTGAAATAATGGAACTTTGTCTGGATAAGGAAGAACATTAAGGCAAAAGCAAAGCAGGTGATTACTAGCAAAGAAAGACTATCAATAGATTCTTCATCTTTGTGAGATCAAGAAAGTGTTGGAGTAGGGTGGTTAGCGGATATTGGAAATTATGATCATGAGGTGAAGGGCCCACTAGGCACTCGCATTCCACGCCCGGCTCCATGCCAGCGAGCCGGGTTTCTTACCCATTTAAAGTTTGAGAATAGGTTGAGATCGTTTTGGCCCCAAGACCTCTAATCATTCGCTTTACTGGATAAAACTGCGTCCGACTGCCAGCGACGGCCGGGTATGGGCCCGACGCTCCAGCGCCATCCATTTTCAGGGCTGTCCTCGCCGGGGCCCCTTGGAGGGGAGCGGGTTGAGTTTTCCTCCCCGCCCTGACCAGGGCTCCGGCAGCCGAAGACCTCCAGAACCAGCCACCATCATGCTGAGACCACTCTCCGCACACATGAAGGTACCGGCAGAGGAACAAAGGCACGCAGGTCCCGGGGCTGAGATCTCCAAGCCTACTCTGATTGGGGCTGAGCATCCTCCACCCAGATCCTCCAAATTCCAGTAGGCCGGGGTCACACCCACCAACTGGCCCCCTGGCACCGTGCAATCCCATCAACGGCTAAGACTCAGAGACTATAAAAACCAGCTTCCGGTACCGTGCGGCTGCGACATCCTATTATGACATCTTATCATCTCATTCCTACTTTGGACAAACTGGCAGGCTACCGAATGTAACCTGCCCACACGGCAGAGTCTGGCAAACTCCCCGTGGCGTACCCAATATGCCAAATACCAGTAACAGTGAAGGGTCTCATTCTCCTCACTCTGAAAGAACCTTGAATATGGCACTTCTTTAAAAAATCTCAGGGCTAGGATGAAGGAGACGTTACTGGGGCCTGCTCGAGGCAATTTGACGAATAACAGGATGGTTGTGTGATTGTGTGTGTGATGTATACATTATGAGCTTTAATGAGGAGCCAGGGATGAGGCTCAGTAAGAGAGTACATGCCTTGCATTTGTGAAGTCCTAACCCTTCCTGGAACTGATACATCACAGAAGTTCACTGTCACTGTCACTGTCCTCCTGTTGTTCATCAATTTGCTTGAGGGGTGGAGGAATAGAACCCAGCTTGGCCAGGCTGACTGCATGCAAGGCAAATGCCCTACCACTGTGCTATCTCTCCAGCCCATCACAGAAGGTAGAAAACATTTTTTTTTTAATGAAAGAATGTTCAGTCACATAAGAAAACACTCGAATGATACTTGAGGGGGGGAAGTAGACATACATTTGTATAGTAGTATGTTAAATATTAAAAAGAAATATCAAAAGATTAACATTTATTTTGGGACCAGAGAGAGAGCATGACCGACTAGTGTGTGCTTTGTATGCAAGAGGCCCAGGTTCAGTCTCTGGCACCACATGGTTCTCTGAGCACTGCCAGAAACAACCAAGCAATATGCAGGAACATCGTTCCTGAGCATTGTTGGATGTGGCCCTAAAACCAAAAATCTATTTGAAGTTAGATGTGTTCCAGTGATGAGATTGTACATACACCCAATGGTGCTCAGTGACCTGCAGTGCTCAGGATGGAACCTGGACCTCTCTATGTGAAGTACGTGCCCCAGTCCTTTGAGTTCTCTTCCCTGCCCTCCCCCTCTTTCCTTCCTTCCTTCCTTCCTTCCTTCCTTCCTTCCTTCCTCCCTCCCTCCCTCCCTCCCTCCCTCCTTCCTTCCTTCCTTCCTTCCTTCCTTTCTTTCTTCCTTTATTGTACTTGAGCTTTCAAAATCTTTTCCACTGAAAGTACAATTTTTAATTTAAAAAATGAAGACAAAAACACAACAAAAATTTGGGCATAGATTTTGACCTCTAGTTTACCAGCTGATATGGAAACATCAATGGTTAGCACCCTCTCATCTCTTTGCAGTCTTGGGAAGTGACTCCGAGGCACCTTCTGAATGTCTAGAATTGGAGAAGCCTTTCCTGGGGGCCTGGAGAGAAGGTTGCAGGCCTCATGTGGGTGTGCTGGTTACTATAACCAACTCTTTTTTTTTTTGTAAATAAAGATGAAACTGCTTATTGTGAATAGCAAGCTAAAAGAACAACATAAGCCTTTTGGTGACCTTTGACCTTTGGTGACCCATTCTTTGAAATCTATCTATTAGGCAGCCATCCTCTTCTGACCTTTATTTTAAAAAACTCTTTAATGGATCATTGTGAGATATACCCTTAAAAAGCTGTTTATGGGAGCTGGAGCAATAGCACCGCGGGTAGGGCGTTTGCCTTGCACGCGGCCAACCCGGGTTCGATTCCCAGCATCCCATATGGTCCCCTGAGCACCACCAGGGGTAATTCCTGAGTGCAGAGCCAGGAGTAACCCCTGTGCATCTCCAGGTGTGACCCAAAAAAGCAAAAAAAAAAAAAAAGCTGTTTATGAATAGATTTCAGTCATACAGTATTCCAACACCCATCCCTCCACCAATCACCAACTCTTAAGTATTTCCTCATTTTAAAAGCCATCACAGAAAATGAAGGGAAATAGAAAAGAAAAAAAATTTTAAGCCACACCTGGCAGTGCTTAGGGGTTATTCCTGGCTCTGTACTCAGGAGTGATCCCTGGAAGTGCTCAAGGGACCATATTTGGTGCTGGGTATTCAAACTTGGGTCAGTGTCTTAACTTCTGTGCTATCTGTCCAGCCCCTAGGAAGGAAATTCTTATAGACCAAGGACAACTCCAGGCAACAGTTGGGTATTTCCTTCAGTCCTTTATTCTTTGCATAATGTTTTTTCTTGTGTTTAGTTGTTTTTTTAATCAGGATAAAATTTTATTGCAAATAATTAGAGCACTACACAAAAGTATAATGGTGCAAATATAAGTCACCTAAAATGCCACACTCACGGCATATCTGCTAAAGTTATGACATGCCATCGTGATCTCTCTTTCTACACCACCACTGCTTTTGCTTCTCAGTGCTCAGTGATGCTGTTCTGGGCCATCTTCAGTGCTTGAGCATCTTTCCCCGTTAATAAAGTCAGAGACACTTTTCCAAAGTGTTCTCTCATCTATACATGATCTCTGAAACCAGTTTCCTCCTGATAGACTTTTCCTTTCTCAACACTGCTTTTATTTATTTCATTATCTTTTTTCTGTAACTTATTTTAAATTTAAACCTCACAAGATGGGATCAGAGACAGAGCACAGCACTTGGCTTGTTTGCTGTGGACCCCAGCTTGATCTCTTGCACTGCTTAGAGGTCTGCAAGAACAGGCAGTAGTAATTCCTGATAACAAAGTTAGTAGTAAGCCCAGAGCATTGCTGGTGTAATCCAAACCATTCTCACTCCCCAAAAACCTCACAAGAATCTGCAAAAGCATGAAAAAAAAAGGGCTGGAAAGCTAATTTAGCAGTTTGGACATTCATCTTGATTTCGCTGACCCAGGTTTGATTCTCCAGCACCCCATGTAATCCCATGAGCACAGAACCAGGAGTAATCCCTAAGTGTCTCTGGGTGTGGTCCAATCCCCCTGCAGACTGATTTCACCAGATTTCTCCATCTATTGATTCTTAAATGTTTAATGATTTTCCCCAATTTCTTTGCAAATTCACCTATTTTTTCGTGATGCTTTGTCCTTTCATTATGTTTTATATTCCTTCCTCTACTTACTGTATCAGATATGTTTATAGCTCTGATGTTGTTTTGTTTTGTTTTGTTGTTTTTGGGATCATACCCAGTGATGCTCAGGGGTTACTCCTGGCTCTGCACTCAAAAATTACTCCTGGAAGTCTCAGAGGGCCATGTGGGATGCTGGGACAGAACCCGTGTCAGCAGCGAGCCTGCCGTACTATCTCTCAGCCCTACTGCACTGTTTTAGATATGAGTTTTAAATTTCTTTCTTAGGATTAACCTCAAGAATGGTGTGTTTTATGATTCTCATTTCTGGTGGTTTCCCTTTTCATCTAGTAATATAGCCCATGGATTTTTTTTCTTTTCACAAAAAAATGATAACTTAAAGGACATTAACTATCTAAATGAAGAGTCAGGAATATCAAGGCAGAACATTAAGCAAGGGAAAGACCCAAAAGGAGAACTCTCAACACTTTATTTTTAATAACATAATACGATTTTTGTACATCTATCTTTACTCTTTGTCTCTTCATGTCCTTAGAAAAAGGATCATAGAAGTTGATTTACTGAGCAAAACGTTGAAATTTTGA